GGTTCCTGCTGTTGCAGCCCAGTATGTAGTTGGCCTTCGTCTTCTCAAAGGTGCACTGCAGATTCATGTCCTACTAATGATTTCCTCTTGAGAGTTTGTGGATGTGTGCCCTGCTTTGTTTGCCTTTTTTGTCCACCGGTCACATCATGACTGCATCCTGGAATGTCTTACAGTTGTCATCTCGAAAGGTATCGAGGACAGGGTGACCTCTACAGCTTCTCAGTTTCGGGCTTATGTCATGTGGCTGTGAAAAAGAAGGGAGGCTGCCAACGTATATTCTGCTTGCTTTTCTGCTGCTTCTATTTCAGGTTTCTTTTTCTCAGTACTAAAGTACCTGTCATAATGTGTTTTTTATCGTTTGTGGGACTTTACTGTGGCTGCAAAGTGCAGAAAAGGCCCTCATCAGACACGCTGGCATCCTGTTTCCTGTTACTCTCTAATAAAAACTGTTTTCTTAACAAATAACTAAGTAAGCCAGAAAGATTGAGGAGACAAATTTCTACAACCGATAGGAGTCTTTCCTTTATGCAAGATTCTGCAATGGGAATGTATCCACTTGGATCCCACCTTGTCAAGCGATAGTTAGATTTCACCAGTAATCAAGTGATTCATTTACCGTGTTTTTACTCATACTCATTACTCATAATAATGACTTAGTTTATACATTTGAATGGTCTGTATCTTTCAGAGTTCCCTCAAGGCCATTTTTAGCATATGGCAACAGAATGCAATGTCAGGCAGTATCAGATGAGAGACAGGCATTACGGGAATGTGTTATTGCCTGTTGTATTTTTGAATACCTTGCTTAGAGATTCCCCCAGGCTGAATAGGTGCTTGTTCAACTAGGATCCAAGTAGGGTTTTCAGCTTCCATATGAAGAACTGGCACTTCTCACCTCAGTTGGACTCACAAAGCTATACTGAGTGCAACACCTATCTCTACTAACGCTCTTCTCTTCGTATGGCTGTGTGGAAATCCTTAAAAATGACTGAGTATCTACATCAATTTATTGTTTGTCAGACACAGCGACAAGAATTGTAAGAGAAAAATTTATTTACCTGGCAGTTGGACGGTGCTCTTGAAATGTCACATGTTCGTGCATGTAGACGTATGTGTGTCTTCACAAAGCCCATGACTTGTTCATTTCTGGTCATTCCTGGAACATTTGGATTCTGTAATGGGAGAACCAGGGCCAGTTGGTAGGTTGCTCTACCTGTTGTTTCCCAGCATGGGAGTACAAGCAGCCGTGACACACAACCCGTTAGGTTATTCTGAGGTGCATGATAGATACGCATACCAACCTTGGCGGGGGGCAACCCATATCAAAGCCATGATAAATTAATTTAAGAAGTCATTTCTTTTTTTTTCCTCTCTTCCTTTCACATTTGCTTGCTATAGTTTAGTGTTGACTAGTTTAACAGTTAAAGCAAATTAACTAGCATGTAATCAAGTTGTTAAAACTGAAGAGGAGAAATGTAATTTTGCCTAACATCACATGATCTGTGAAGTTCTTTGTTTTCTTCCAGGTAACAAATAAAAAGCCAATAACTGTACTTGACATACTTGAAAAAATCCGCCTGCATGTTTCAGTGCCACAGTGTGATGTGTTTGGATACTTAAGTATAGAATCTGAAATTGTGATTCTCATCATTCCTGTGGATCAGAACCCCAAACCATTGCAGGTAAGGGTTTATTATTATTTTATTTACCCAGCGTGGATATACTTTGTTTCCATGCGTCTACATTTCACTTTAAAAATGCTATATTACAAACAGTAAAATTGGGTATTTTGCTGTGTGCTGAGTACACTGGGGTTTCTCTAGTGACTTGGATCCAATAACTAGTATTATGGAAGGTGGGATGTGTTTTGAAAATCCTGCTCTTTTGGTAAGAGGCTTTTAATGTGGGAAATTAGAGGGATGAGCTGAAGGAGCCCACAGGGCAGAACAAAGACAAACAATCACAAATGGAATAGCTAATGCCAATGACAGAACAGTATCATTTTAGTTTCAAAATGAATGAACCTTCAACTTTCTGTGGCTAAAATCACAGCAAATGTAAGCTGATGAATATAAATATATTATTGAATGACATAAATACATTATTGAAGGACACTGTTGTGATCTTAAAAAGGAAGTGTTTTAGCTAGTTCATGCTAGCAAATGAGCATATAAAGCTGACAGTACTCAACTCTAAACATAAATCAATAAATACAGGTCAAAGTTTTAATCTTATTTTCCTAGCAGTGTTTCAGAGCAATAAAACCAAGGTTTTGGCTATGTACTGCGTTTTTTTTCTCCTGAAGCTCTTGCTTCATTTTTAGTTTCTGCTTGTAAAGGCTGTGCAAGACCAAGGAGGAAATCTTCCTCTTAAAAAGAAAACAATTCCTTGCCATTTTATAGTTTTTTTCTGATAGTCTTGTTTTGCCCCGCTGATGGCATTTTATAATAAAGTCCCTTTGGGGATTAGGTGCTCTGAGTGGTTCATTCTATTAACTTGTCTCTTGATGCTCACTACTTTCAAAGCTAAATCCTTTATTTTAGAAAAGGAAAAAGAGAAAGCATGCCCACAGTTTCTCTCTTATCCCTTTACAATACAAACAGAATTCAGGCAGTTTCATTTCCTTGTTGTTTGGTTTATATTAAAAGCTGCTTCCCATTTCCTTTTTATTTCTACAGTCTAATTTGCATACTCAGTATTACTTCAGAGATGGGCTACACATAGTAGATGTGTGTGTGTATATGTCTAGATATATATATAGAGCTAGTATAACAGGAATTGATAGCATCACTGCCATAAATTTTGCAAGTTGCAGCATCAAAGTAGGGCAGTCCTTTCTCCAGTAGCTACAACATTTGTTTGCTTTCCCCTACTACTGGAGCAACCCGGTTATATCCAACTGATCTCCAAGTTACATCTCCTCCTTTAGCAGCAATAGCCCAACATGTTTCCAGGACGTAGGACATGAGGTCTTGAGCCCTGCCAACCTGATCAGCTCTCGCCCAGCCTGCAGCAGGTCCTGCCGGCCTCCTGGGAAGGGGAGGACTCCGTCCGTGTGAAGGGAGCCCCGGGGAGCTGCTGCTCTTACAGAATTGCAAGTTCCTCACTTTCAAGGCTCCAGATATTAAGTCTGGCCAGTTAAAAAACCTGCACCAGAGACACCTTCCAGAGCTGTAAAGAGGCTTAATGCGAAACTGATTCCTGGAATGTAGTACAAGTTGAGGTGGCAAACTGGATTTTCTAACATAAATTCGTAATTATCCTCAAGTCTACAGGTTTATGGAGGGGGAAAAAAGACATATTATTAGTATTTGCTCAGGTTTTCCTATTTCCATTCTTCTATTCCTTTCCATAAAATAAATGAATTTTCCCTGATTTGGAAGAAAAATCCGAGTAAGCAGAAAATCCTGATTTTCTGCAGATCTCAAGGCAGTATTTTCGTCAATCAGGGAGGAAATCCTCAGTTTTAGAGATACTCATTTCTAGTTATAATTTACTGTGAGCTTTTTAGCGTCAACATTCAAAACACATCATCCGTGATAATTTGGATGGCGCTTCCTTCTTTTCCTTTTGCTACTGCTCAGGGCTTTGACAGTAAGTTTTCATAGTACCAAACCCTATAATAAGAGTTTCAGTGGTTTGTAAGTATTACTCCAAAACACTGATGTAAATCTTACATGCTGACTGGAATAATTCAGATATTACTTCCTAAATTTTCCTATCTAGTAACATTTCTTTCATTAGCATTTTACATGGTAAGAAGAGAAGTAATAGTAACTTTTTTTCCTAGATTGAGGCCTGCAATAAAGAAGCGGAAAAGATAGAGTCACTGATAAATTCGGACAGTCCAACACTAGCATCTCACGTGCCACTGTCAGCTCTAATCGCATCTCAAGTACAAGTTTCATTCAGCATTTCTTCTCCTTCTCTTAAAGTGGAGCCTGTCCTGCACTTCCTGATCATAAGCCTTTTATTCACCTTGTCAACATTAATATATTATACATAACTGCTTAGAAAATGTGCATAAGTATTGCGTTTTTTATATTGTGAAGGACATTCAGAAGTGTCAATCTCTTCACTGAACCAGGAAACAGAAATATGTCAGATTCCAGAAAATCTGATGTACTAATATCTTTCAGTGAAGGACTAAGAGTATTTGGAATAATGCGAAAGACGATTCTTTTATTCATCACTACTCAGATGTTTGTTTAAGCACAATTAAATTGTTTTCCATTGACCTTATAACCGTAAAAATAGTCTGGAAGAGTCTGGAAGACATTATGGATTTATGATTTTTGCAAGGAAAGGATGTTACAGGTTTTTTCAGCAATGAACAAATAGTGTATTGAGTTTACTAAAAAATGTTAATTTTGTATTATTCAGATGAATATCGATGAAAATGAAAAGCATGCACCTATTTTAAACATCATTTGTGGAAGAAACAAATTGCTGCTACTTAATTACTTTACCAAAAATTTAAGAGTTTATTCTCATGTAAATATACTTTCATATTTTATTATGAAGAAAACTTAACAGCCTTGGGCCCATTTCAGTAAACCACCCTTGGGTAAATATCTTTACTGGGACTAGTGAAGATTTGCAGGACATTGGGCTCAATGGTTGTAAAATGACAATCAAGCTCTATACCAGTACCTTACTTCAGTGAAGAAATTCATTCATTTTTTATAGTTTTGTACATTTCAGAATCTCTTATTGGATGCAAAATTATAAAGAATCTCAGTATATTTAAGTGCCATTTTAAATATTGCAGTATTTGCATGTTATCTAATGAAATTTATTCTTTAAATATGTTTAAATGTTTATATGAACAGTATGTTTTATTACTTATTGTATTTTATGCACCTGACCTTAGTCTACATGAAGTATTTTATATCAGTATTATGATAGCCAACTTTTGAAGTATATACAGGAAAAACTTATTTTTGCCAAAATGCTGAACTATGAAAGAAAGCACTGAAAACTTTTTGAACATATATGTTACTGTAGCATGTCTGTAGCAATTATTTTCTGCTAATTCTTTTCAATGCAAAGGTATTAAAGCTTTTTATTTTAATAAAAAAACTTTTTTGGTCTTGTATCCTTATACATAGATGTCTGTAACTTTATAAAATTCTCTCTGCAGTACAGTGAACTTTTGAAGTATATACAGGAAAAACTTATTTTTGCCAAAATGCTGAACTATGAAAGAAAGCACTGAAAACTTTTTGAACATATATGTTACTGTAGCATGTCTGTAGCAATTATTTTCTGCTAATTCTTTTCAATGCAAAGGTATTAAAGCTTTTTATTTTAATAAAAAAACTTTTTTGGTCTTGTATCCTTATACATAGATGTCTGTAACTTTATAAAATTCTCTCTGCAGTACAGTGTACATTTTTCTTTTTTTTTTTTTTTTTTTTTTTTTTTTTTTTTTTTTTGTTTCCAATACAACACTTGGAACTAACTGCAATTGCCTGCTTCTGTGACTTATATAGTTAAATATTGCCAAACAAAATAAATTTCAGGGCTCTTTATGTTTTGGTTTTTTATCCAAATCTTTGGGTAATGCCATATGCATATAAATTTGTGCCACGAGTGTCAGACTCAATTAACTATAGAAGACTGTTCTAGATAGTTTTATGGGTGCCTCTTTGTATGGTTATAGTCATCCACAATTTTGATTTGCAAGAGACTTCTGTCACCATCTGCTGGAAATCTGCACAAAGGTTACGGATAGAATTAATATCTTATTTTGTCCCTGAGCTCTAAGGCTCAGCCTCCTCCCGAGCAAACGGTGGGGCTCGATGTCTCTCCCTGCAAACCACCCCAGGGGCGTGTTTCTCTGAAACCTCCTTCAGGTGCTTCTCTAAGCACGCGTATTGTGGTGGTGGTGTCTCTTGGTGAGTGAAGAGCATTCAGTTTTATATTCTAAGTGCTGTTCTACTCTCTGTGTTTCTGTCTACTTATGGTCGATGAGTACAGATGCAGCTGATCTTTGCAAGTGTTCTCACCAAATATCTCCAGGAAGACTGATGCATGTAATCGTGAAATACAAATTACTTGTTGAATATGTTGATAATAAATCTGTTTCCGAGATTTCTTCCATGTATTCATAAGAAACTTGGACACAAGAGTATAATGCACTTGAAATGTTTTTTGAACTTAAATTGTTTGGACTTGTCCCTAGAAACTGCCAGCAACTGAGAAGATTTATTGAATTCCTTATTTTTTCCAAATTGTAAACAAGCATCTTTTTAACGTTGAGACTGTTGGCTTGCTTAATGTTTTGCTGAAACAATCTGCTGCTTACTATAATGTGGGGAATTTAAATGTTTTAAGTATATATATGCCACATTAGAAAAATAGCGTGAACAAACAGAAAGTGGAGACCTTGAAAACATACCTTTTTGTGGAACAGAAGGTATCGGGGTACTTCTGTTCTTATATAGCCATGAAGATTTTAGTCAATGAAAGATCATGCAAAAACATGTTCCTTTGACTCAGATGATGAATTAAGAATCTGGAAAAAGCAGAATTTAATCATAGAGCTTTTTGCAGTCATATGTGAATGTTCAGCACTTGCTGGACAAGAAAACAGTGAAGATCCTTGAGGGATTATGTCAAATCCCCCCTTGAAGATTGTGAATGGCTATATTAAATATATGCAGAACCAATGAGATGATTATCCTAAATTCTTGAACACAAGTCCAGCAGCAGAAGCATACAGGGCTTAGGCTCTTTTTATTGGATGAACAAAACTACTTAAATATTTTCTAGGTTTTCACAAGCCCTGTGACACCTTCACAAGAATGAAGAAACCATTTATCAGTTTTGAATTCAAAGGAACTAGGAGAAAAGATGGAAGAAACAGAGTCCAATTTTACTATGAAGTTGGAACGCAAGGGAGAGAAATTTGATACGGGTTTGTGAAGAGCTTTCCAACTAAGGGCTAATGACGTTCTGTCACCATCCGAGTGAAAATCTGGGTTGGCTTAAGAAAGACTGGAGGCGGCACAAGGGCACTTCAAAGAAGCACAAGATTCTTTCTGTTGCTTTAATAACGTGACCCAGCTGACACACTTACAAAACACTATTTTCTTCTCTGTAGAAAGCTAGAGTTAATGTCAACAGTAGGCTCTAGAGGGAGATGCTTCAGTTCTGTTTCCGTTCTGTTTAATTTGGCTCTTCTCAACAGAGTGGCAGCAAGGGAAGGGCACCAGCACAGGCTTTTTGTATGCCCTTAGGAGTGGATAATCCAAGAAGCAAATATCAAAGCAAGTAAGACAGAGCAAGGGATTCCTGGCTTACATTTCTGTTGAGTTTTGGTGCCAGTAGGAGTTGAGATTTCTGATTTTTCAGAGAGGATAATAGCTCGCTCTTCATTCATGTTCTAGTTCTATGCTACTTTACCTAATGTCATAAATTGGAGTTTTGCATGTATGTATCTTGATCGAAAAGTAACGCATTGTTTATGCATCCACACTGAGCTTTATGATGCTTTTCTAGGTCTTTCTTTCACACTTCAAGCATATTTCAAAACTTCTTTTTCAATAATGTCACTATTTCTAGGAAGTCCTGGGAGTATTTACTGAGAGCAAACTGAGGTGTGGGTAGTCCTTTGCAAAACTGTGGCCTAGATGTCCATAATAGATGTTTGGACTATAGAACTATTTCCTCTAGTCAAATGAGTTAGACTTTTGTTTCAAATGCTACTTTTTTTTCTTATTGGGGTTCATTTATTTGCCACTGTTCTGCTAGACTTGAATTCAGGTTCCAACATATTCTTTGAACAGCTGGTGTTTGTATACAAACCAATATATATATATAAGAGCAGTAGCTCCAGCTATTCATGTGGACTGAATGCAGGTTGCAGCTGTAATTCCTAAGAGTGGCTCCACCTACCACTTAAGGCGTTCGGCCTTCCGGGTGAATGTATGGAGTCAACCGCTTGTTTTGGGCTCTTTCTCCTGCTCCTCTCTTAGTTACAAGTTCTTGCAGAGCCCAATGCATAAGAAAATGAGTTTCAAAGCAGACAAAAACGTTTCCAAGTCCTAGCAGGTTTCTGTGTCCTATCACACTACAGTAAAAATGGTACACTTTTGTTAGCATTGAAATTGTAAATGGGGGCCTCATATTTGGTGATTTATGTCATGGAGCTAAAGTCTCCTATTATCACATTTGAAGCTGATCAGTTCCATACAGATTCAATGCTATTAACATGTGCATTATTTGAGGCGGATCATGTATGATCAGTATGGTAGGTGATTACTTTGACGATTGCTGAAACATCAAGTAGACTCTGAATTTTAATATGTTTAACACGTACACTGCTAGATGGAAAAATCTAGATGTATGTGCATTAAAGATCTAGTTTTAGCTGCAGTACTTTGAAAATGTTGACTTATTGAATCATTTTTAGATTTTATCGTATGAACATTGCTAGCATTCATTTAATTTTATCACTTTTTCAAAATGATACATAAAATAACTAATGTTTCCCACTTTAGACAGTCTTTTTCACAATACATGTATTAAGGCTTTTAGAATATATTTTAATACTCTCCACTTGGATATAATTTTCATCTAAATCATGAAAGATAAAATATCCTTTTGCAGGCATAACATAACATCAACTGTTATGATCAATATATTATTTACCTTCTACTTAAACTCTACAGTGATAGTAGGGAAAAAAATTAAAGCTTTACATTGCCCGTTATTTCAAAGTACTGGCTACGTATATTTAGAAACCGTTTGGAATATTTTAAGCACATCTGGATTTAGCACATCACTGCTACAAAACTGAACTGCCTGTTGAACTCGCCGTCTTCAAGAGGAACAAAGACATGGTCAAAAACAGATTCATGTTAGATATTTTGAAGGAGACTTACCCGAAGGGCAATAGTAAAATATTGAAAAAGTAAAAGCTCTTGTTAATTTTTTTTCTGCAGTGCTTAGAACATAAAGGATAATAAGATAGCCTTTCTTGACAATGCAAGACACAATGCAGTGACACTAGCATCATGTATGTAAAGAGAGATCTTTTAACCTTAAGTTTTCCAATAGATGATCAGAACCATACTATTATATATTCTTTGAACCTCTAAACAAACTTTCTAACTCATTATATTAACAAATGTCCAATAATGAGACCCACTTTTTAAAACAGAATACATTTATTCTTCTCCCCATCTATTCTCTGATCTGTCTTCCTCAAAACTGGTTTCTGCTTCATTTGCCCAAGTGCAGTTATGAGAGTGATCTGAGCCAAAGGGTGTTGATGTTTCTGTAAGCGTGACATTACTTAATAATCCTCTAGATTCTTCCTGTAAACAGCCACACTTGTTTTTTCGCAAATGCTTTCTGTCGTATTTGGCAGGGCTCCTCAGTTTCCTCCTTTGTGCCCGAATCTCAGCAACAGTTGCAATATTTGCAAAGGTTTTCAATTTGGTTTTCAGTTCTGATTCTGCTTCTATGTATTGGGCTGCTAGCCGCCTTCTACAGCACGGCTGAATAATCCTGGAGGGTCAGAAAGCTCTAATTAGGGGTTTAGGACATTAAAAAAAACAGGTTTGCTGCAAAGGCTTTCTTTAGGTTCATGATCTTCTCACCAGTGCTTATGCTGCATGTTTCAAACTGCTCTTCAGCCCACTGGTCTGTGATTCTGCACTGGTGCCTGCTCTGACAGTAGGGGGTGTTACTACTGTTTAGTGTATAAATTTACTTTTTAATCCATTTTTGGACTGTAGCAGCAGCAGTAAATATATATATACATATATTTACACAGATATATATGCATATCTGTCTATCTCACAGTGCCCACTATCAGACAGACTCTCGGTCTCATCCTCTTCTGCTAAAGGACTTTTGGGCACACTGCAGAGAAGATTTTTTTTTTTTCTCCAGCAGAACCCACCTACAAAGTTGCTCTCCTGAGTTATGAGCCACTTTAGAGCATAAAGCCTATGTCTAGCAATTTTTGTTGGGATGAAGGCTACTACTACCATAGCTTACACCATCTAGGAAAACAAGAACAAAGGAAAAAAAAATCCCCCTCTATGGCATAAACGGTTCCTGAGCTAACGACTGAAGTACCAAATTCTGCGATATCTCCCTGTTGGACTGGGGGCTGATTTGGCTGGAAAGCAGCTTTGCAGAAATGGCCCTGGGGATGGGGAGGTCGTGGTAGACGCCAGGTGGACCAGGAGCCAGCAACGTGCCCTGGGCTATATCAGGAAGAGCAGTGCCAGCAGGTCGAGGAAGGTGATCCTGCCCCTGTATTGAGACCGCATCTGCAGTGTGGTGCTCAGTTCTGGGCTGCCCAATACAAGACAGACATGGACACACTGCAGTGAGTCCAGCCCTCACTGGGGGGCCAGTAAATGATGAAGAGAGCAGAGCAGCTGACCTAGGAGGAGAGGCTGCGAGAGCTGGGATTTTTTTAGCATCAGGATGAGATGGCTCAGGAAGGATCTCATCAAAGTGTTTAACTACCTGATCGGAGGGCACATCTAGAGAATCAAGCACCAGGTGGTATTAGAGCTCTCTGAGAGAGACTCTTCATGGTTTACAGCCAGTAATTAATGCTTTTCATCAGTTTTCGATTTTCTACCTTTAAAGACAGCTTGGAGAACAACACACTGCTGTCACGAGGAAAGAATTACTTTACACTTCCAAATAATCCCTGGAAAAAGATTCTTCTGTCTTTTTTCAAGTTTTTAATGCTGCTTTGTGGCCTAAATTGAGCAATTCAAAACCTTTTATATACACTTAAGCATGTTAAATACATCCATCCCTTGTTCCGTATTCATTCTCATCACAGCAAAAGTGCTGAAACCTTGAAGCTACTATAAGAAATATATTTTAAAAAATCATTGAAGAACTGATGAATAACGAGAGATGCTGTGCACCAGAATGAAGAAGATATTTGGTAACTAAAACTTTCTGTCTAAAAGTGTTTAATCTTCATTCAGTCCACTCTGTCAGGTGTTTTTTTAAGTCTGTTGTGCAGGACCTCTCCTTATTTAGCTGTTCTTTAAAGATTTTTTTAGAAGATGAATTAAAGACTTATGCTCTTTATTTGTGCCTGAACGGAGGGGACCTTACTCCCAGGGCTCTGATCTGTCATTAAAAAGTGCCCTGCTGAGAAGCATCTCTCCTTTGCGAGGAGAGAACCAGGGGAAAAAACATCTTAGTTACTGTCATCTGTCTCATTGTTAAAATGTCATGGGTTTCCTGAATGACTAGATAGTCACAGACAGCTCATCTGCCTACAAACCTTTCACTAAAAAGAAGTCAAACTGTGTTTTTTGTTTCAAGTATGTTAGTTGTGATGAACTTTTAGTGAGTAAACAGAATTTGAAACCAAGAACGAAGATTGTTTCAGCTGTTGCAGAGACTAGTTTGAAATTTAAAAATTTAAAATACAGTTCTTCAAATTTATTCTGACACAAAATATATTTGAATTCTGGATTCAAATAAGACACAGACTGCTATTCTTAGTAAGCTTGGCATATCCTCTACTGAAGGAGGGGGTATATTGAGACAAAGATCTGAATTACAGTAGCATTCTCCCATTCAGTCCACCACAGGCTGTGTTTTTCAGTCTGTAATACAATTACAAAGCACCAGCATGTACTGGATGCAAAATAAATAAATAAATAAATAAAACCTTACAAAAGCTGTTGGTTTGTGTGCTCTTGCCTGACATTGTCCAATGTCAGAGTCACTTGGGAAGGTTCCTTTCATATTTTGTCAGTGAAGGAGATGCACAGGCATCCTAGCTGTTAGTATTACAGTATACAGAAATAATAATATAAAATTATAAATGTGCATAACAGTTGTATTATATACAGTTTAAAAAAATGCCACAAATAAATAAATACTTACACCCAAGAGATCAGTAGGACAAGGATGACTCCAGTGGGGATAATCAAGAAAACTATCCAGATTGGCAGAGTTCCTGAAAAAGACAGAGAGATTGTAGCAAGTCACAGAAAGTAGAGCCTGCGTACTTCTCCGGTTTCCCTTGGCTAGGGGTGTCAAAGACCACAGATATGCTGCTACTCAGCACCAACAAGCAGAGAAAAGGACTCAAACAGTCACAGTAACTTTTGGAAATCTAACTGGGAAGTATTTGTGCTTTTAACCCCATAGTTTCACTTTTGGGCTTTGCTTATTCCCCTTGTTGTTTAGAGATCAGAGAGTTGGTTTTTTTCTATCACGATCCATCTTTTACGGTCCTTCCTGGTAATAAGCATGTGCAAATCACTATTCTGATTGTGCTGGTTTTCATATCTGCTTCACACTTTTTTTTGCCCATGAGTACATGCCATATAATGGCATAGGATCAAAAGGAAGTAGGTCTAAGCATAGAAATGGATTGTGATTACCTGCAAAAATCTGTGTTCCACGACTGTGGCAAAACCCTAAATATACCTCGCAATCCTTTCATGATTCTATCCTTTATGATAAAAATCCTTCCTATAATGATTCTATCCTTTCACGATAAAAATAGTAAAAAAATGATTACTTCAGTAGGATTTAAGCTACTCCGATCATTGCCAACGCAGTCTCTTTTTATTATTATTGTATAACTTACTTTGACAGTCACTTGCAGTTTTGGATCCTCTTCTATCACTAGTATGTTGCTTTGGACAGCTTTCACATGCAGTTTGCCCATATTTTTCATTGTAAGATCCAGGTGCGCAGAGCGTACATACAGTATTGTAGTCAGCACTAAATCTACCAGGTGGGCATGTTACTATAAGAAAAAGAAAACCACTGTTAAGAGGAAAAATATAATAAAATATAGACTTAAAAAATTGAAATGATACTGATTATAGACCTGATTTTGTGCTTACTAAATTGGGACTGCACTACTGTAATTCTAGTGACATAAGTAGAGTAACACTCGCTATAGCAAAAGATTCTTGGATCAAACACTCTGGTATGAATTGTCTATATTTGGTGCAAAATGCAGAAATTTGTAGTCACTTTTTACTCAGTTCTTATTTTAGGAAATTCACTGAATCTCCTGCATAAGTAAATAAAAACTTCAAGAAAGCACTTCAAGAAAGAATTTTAGGTCCTGACTTTTAATTGTTGGATAATGTTGGATAATAATTTGGACTTTTAAAACAAAGTTGATTTCCAGGGTCTTGAAGGCTGATTCTAAAACTTCGCTACATTCAGTTGAGGAGGAAGGGTGTCGGGTGGATGAACCTGCATATTAATGAGATGATAGTGCTCTTAAAGAAATACAGTATGTTTTGTTCTTTTATGACTGTCTTTATGAATAAATAGTGCATACAAATTGTGGAGTTTTGCTGTTGTTGTATTAAGTGGAAGACGATGACAACAGCAGAGACAGAGGTCTTATGCTTATTTTGAAGAAATGGCAGTTTACAATCTCCAGCATGTTAGGTTAAGTCGCGTTTTCTAAAATGATAACTCAAAGACTTTTAAACAGGCTTAAGAAAAATCAGTTTCGCTCCCAATTAGTTAGGTAGCAGAGTCATAATGTTAACTGTTGACAGCACGCTCTTTAGAAAACAGCAGACGAGTAATCCTTTACGTTTATAGAAAGAAAAGCCAAGCATAGTAATATTAACCTTCTTCTGCCTTTTATAAAAGATAAAATAATTAATTTTACTTGTCACCTTTTAAGGAAATGCTTTTGCCAATTATATGTTTCAGCAAACCAACTTGCATACAGATCTTGCATATTGCATGCTCAATTATAATCAGCAAGAAGCTCAAGCTGCTAATTTCAAAAGCTCAGAGTCCTTCAGTGATAAGAAACTGTGGGCTGGGTACAAAATACGACTGGAGGGAAGGGAATGTTTCTAAGAGCATTTTAAAATTTGAATCATGGGGGGTTTTTTTGCCTCTGTTGACATCATCCTCTTCTATCTGATCTTTTTGTAAACTTCTGTTTATATAATTGTCACGGATAATGTATTTCAGTGCTGTAGGAAAGACTGATAAAAGCACAGAATTTTTTGATAGTATAAACATTACAAATTCGTTTATATTTTCTGTGCCATTCTTAGCAGAGCTAGACAGTGGAAGAACATTCATTCTAGGAATAAGTACACGTTGCATAGGAACACAGGCCTGAGAGGGACCGTCTACGTCATATGTGCTGTTTCCCCACACTTGTGGGTTACCAGACCTTAGAATCATTGTCAGGGCTACAGACTAGCTGAGAACCGTCCAGGGTTGAAACATGATCACATAAACTGTTCTGAAAAAACAAGAAGTGCTGGAAGGCAGAAAAAGTGCCAGAAGCATGTTTGCAAAAAAAAAAAAAAAAAAAAGTGTGCTAAATTTTCCAAGATGTGTTACAAAACATGCTTCAGTGAGTTCCCTGCATTGCAGCTGACCCTTGTGAGGAAAGACTGCTGACATTTTTTTTCTGTTGATTTCCAAAACTCTAAGAAAGATTAGTTTCTGCTGAATAACGGGTATGTGTGTTTGCCTGCCTGCACAGCTTTTCTGGGGATCATGCAATAGCAGCATTCTTAATTTCCCCAGAGGCCTTCTTGACTGTCACATTAAATTTAAACTTAGATAAGGCCAAATTTTTACCACTGTCTCTTATCAGGTTCATTTCCCACCGGTTGCTATAAAATTCCCGCAAGAAGTACAGCTCTATTTCAGCAGAACTCATTGGACAAAGTTAACGTTCTTCCATTACTAGAGTCATAGCAGTTGTTTTGCACCAAGGCTTCAAGCTGTTCCCTTGTTCACATTCAACACAGTTTTGCAGGACTGAGGAAGAGGGTAAATAAAACACTGCTTAGAGAAACCTCTAATGAGCTGTGCCCTTAAAGATTTTTGTTATGCATTTATTCTAAGCACACTTTAACTGCCTCTAATTTACATATTGATTTCCCAAGCATTTTTAGCCATAGAGTTGAATTCTTTAAATGTTTCTTTACTCATTTACATTCTTATCAAACTTAGAGCTTTAGTAATATCAGCAGTTGGTTGATACCAACAATCTAGTTTAGCAAAGAATCCAACCTTTTTAACTTAACAATCCTGTACTGTATTTTTCCTTTCAACCAGTCAGGGCAATAGTGCAACTTCTATATGTTAACACATGACCACAGTTCCATTCCACTCCTGACAAGGAAGTTCCTCAGGACTATGTTTTCCATTTGCTTTTCTGCACAGCTTCAACCCTCAATAGGATCACAGCTTTGATCAAAAGTTTTAATTTTTCCATTCCTTGGCATTTCTTATTTTTTATTTAGGTGAATATATTGTTTTATCTACCTTTCCTTTTTCGGCACAAAACTTTCCACAGCTGTAACAGAGGGAGTAATCAGCATTCTACACCTAAGCTGATGCTTTTCCTCCAGTCTGACTGGCCTCTCCTGCACTATGAATGAAAGATCACCTCCTTCTTTCCCAGGGTCTGAACGTCTATCCTCTGTGCAATGTGGACACAAGTTAGAACACAAAAGTGCTGGTAATCTGTATGCTCAGGACAGACGAGCTCTCTCACAGTACTATGGGAAAGAACTGTAGCTTGACTGAGTGTGTGGTGGGTATTGGGGTCCTGCTTTTCACACTAGTAAGTACTGTACCACATAGTTCCAGCTGACAGGTCCACTTGACCATGAATTTGTTGGGTGGTTATTCTCACTGAAGTGACACCACTCAAATGTCACTATTGTCAAGGTAGAAATAATTTCATCAAGATACATTCTTTGGATGCATGTGGAATGTGCTCTTTTTGGCCTGCTTAGAATCAAACTGGAATGCACTCTTTCTTTTTCCTCAGCGAGTTAGTTTTAGGCTTCAGCAGCATAAAAATATATGGCCATACTTGAAACTTCCCAGTAGACATAAAACAATTCATGTCAAAATAACTGCTGGTTGTGTGATGGACAACAATCTCTACAGGGTTTGTATTAATGAAATATATATATATATATATATGAGATACAGCTTGCCCTATCTGTGCAAGGGTCTTAACACGTGTTACCTAAACTGTGTTTGTTACCTAATTTTCAAATATCTTGGGGGTATTTTAAGTATCTTAGGATGAAAAGTTTGTTATGTGCTTCATTGCAGTTTACAGCATTAAAACATCATGCTAACAGTCAGGACGCTTTCCATTTGCAAACCAGGAGGAACATATTTTCTCCCAACAACAGTAATTAGGTATCTTTTTGGAAACAAATTCTTAACACTTACTGCAACATCCTGTGCATATTGAACTACTGGTAATATTTTTACCAAATCCTGGTTTGCAGTGGTCTATATTCAAACCTGTAAGGCTTCCAGGAATATAATGCATCTGTTGACTGTGATAGTGTGATCTTAGGACTCTCAGAAATTGCTGAATCCTGGTATAGGCCTAAAAGAGAAACCAACGACAGTGATTCCAACAATGACACAGCAGCAGGACAGACAGAGCCATGAAAGGCCGGCATGACTATTGGAACAGGAAGAGAGGCAAACTCTGCAGGAGGTGGGTGAAAAGAGGGAAGAAGAGACCTGTAAGGGAGCAGACGTGGCTTTCATCTCATGGATACCTTTTGTCACCTTGCTGAGGAATGTGCGTTGCCACTTTCTTGGAACAGCACAGGAAGCAGTAGGGAAGCTATTCCTGGACTTGCAGCAAAGTGACAACTAAACCCAGTGAAACTGTAACATGGAATAAAAACAGCCTTTTAAGAATATATGATGATCTTTAAAGGTTGTGGATGAATAATATCAGCCTCTGACACAAGGAGGCTGTAAGAGACCTATTCAGTGTCCCCTGCATTATTCCATGTTCCACTGTCACTGGTTTCCCTATTGTGTTTGTACTGGTATATAATCCTATTCTCTCGCATGCATTGGGCTAGAATTTAATTTACTAGTATGCTCAGTTGGGCCAACATAAACTCAAGACTACATTTGGACTGGCTTTCAGATTTATGAATGTGCATGGATAATTGGCCTGGTTAGTTTGAGGCAAAGCTTACACAGGAAATGGAGGTCATTAACTGTAAGCTGAAAAATGACATCAGTGGGTATATTTTCAAAACTTTGTGTGAAATCATCTGAGATGCCTTAGATGAAGAGCTGAGAATATGCTCCGCTTTTCACTTTCAGATGAAAGTAACCAGGTACCAGTTGACATGCGACGAATATAAATACTGGGGGAGAACGTCATAGAAGATGTGGCTCACTTTGGCAGTGGTTTAGTTCTGCGTGGCACACATGGAGCTACACAGGCTGAGTGCCCACTGGGTAGAAAGCAGCTTGACACTAAAATATCTGGGGGAGGGGGGGTAGTCCCAGTGGACAAGTTGAACATAAGTCAGCACTGGGCCCTTTTGACAAAGAAGGAAACTGCATACTGGGCTATACTAGTAAGTGTGTAGCCAGCAGGCTGAAGGAAGTGACTCTTCTCTTCTGCTTGGCATTTGTAAGACTGCAGTATTGTCCACTATTGAGCTCTGCAGTGCAAGAAAGACAAGTGACATACTAAAGAGAGTCCCAGTGGAGGCCACCAACATGATTTAGGGGCTGGAGGAGAGGCATGCAGAAGAGCTAGTAGTTTACAGAGAAAGAGTCAGCAACAGACCTTCAAGATAATCTGAGAAGTCAGTGCTATAAAAGCAATACTGGCTCCATCTCCATGCCTATTCAGTTATTAGTGTACCTGCTGAATCTAAACAGTGCATCTCTTAAAGCCAACTGTAATGGTGCTTGAAAATTGAAAATTCTCCTACATTTGGGGTTTACTCAAGAAAAAAAGGATACGATGTAAGAATAAATAGGTCTGCACAACAAATTCACAGATCTCTGAAGTGTTATTATTTCTGGTTGCAATGGCAATATGGTTCTCTATCAATCACATTTATTCTTGCATGCAGAGTTCCTTAACTATATAGGCTTTTAATACAATGACATGAGGACAGAAATGTAAACATGGATCACATTTCAAATGTATTTTCATATTATTAATGAATAGTTGCACCTTTTTGATACAGTTGGAGGAATTTTCACAGTCTGAACTTTCACAGGGATCTGTAAATGCCAGTGCAAAGGGAAAAACTGAAAATTAACCAGAAGAGATCTTCAGTTAATATACACATTAAGACAGATAACAGGGGCTGCTACACTAAGAAACAATTTCTACTTCAAAAAATTTAAAATGAGAAATAGATCATCAAATGGTTTGCACATTCTGTTCAGTCCTCTAAGTGTTTTTTCCATTTCCCCACCTGTGTGTGAACAGAGACCATATTACATGGCTATATGCAATAGGCAAACACACTACATGGCAAGAAGTCTATTTGCTCTCCTGCCTGCTGATGAAAAAAAAATTACCTTAGGAAAAAATGACAGCTTACTCAGTATGAGCATTCAAGTAGAAAACTGAAATTCTGTTTTAAATATATTTACATACACATCATATCTGAAAGAGAACACGGGAGGGAAATTAACACTCCAAGATAAGTTTGAATATTTCAGGTTACTACTGTAACTTTGGATTTCAAATAAAAATGGCAATCAAGGATGCAGCATGGACGCTGTTTTATTTGCTAGGTAATTTATATACGGTGTTGTCTGGCTCTAAGTTCTGACACGTTCTGCAGTTTGGAAAAAGGTTAAAAGGTATCTCTAAATCCTACCGCTGAGCGCTGCATTCTAAAATGCATCCCTCACTGGTGGCTCATTTTTCTCTGAGCTAGCAACCTACTGTTCTTCCAGTGCAGGGTCATAAGAGCACCTTCTGAGTACCAGCTGCAAGTGCTTACATTGATCAGGTAAGAGCTAACACCCTTCTATAAAGTAGAAAAAAAAGTAGCCAACAGAAGTTCAGTTCCTCTAACATAAGAGAGTAAGCTTAATATTTGCAGCCAGTAATTCCTTGCAGAAATTGAGCTGCTGCCAATGAGGCTGGTTCTATTACCATTAACTATGGAGCCACGTGCTACCCAGCTCAGCTGACTACTCGCATAATCCAGATCAGAAATAGGCACATGACTACGTTCTCCTGATTTGGCCAGAAGACAAGATGCAGTATTTAGGCTGTCTAGCTTTTATGCTGTCTGCAGGAGAACAAATGCTATCTGCTCTGTCATAAGCACATGCTCTGAGCATGTGTTGTTAATCTGTCAGCTGGTGGGCTTTTTCTTTTTTACCAATTTGAACTGGCAATGTAAGCTCTGGATCAGCATTTAGTATTTTATGGCTGTAATGTTTTCTCAAGTGCTACTCTGAATCCTAATGCTGGACCTACAGTATCAATGAACCACAGCTTTAAGAGCTCACACAAGACCAGGTGAGTCAAAGAAGAAAGTGTAAGAAATGCAAGTATACATTTCAAAACTAAAGAATGTATTTTAACTCAGTTTAGCTGTCAGATAAGAATAGTTATGAAGACAAAGTAACTTAGGTTTTAATTTTGCCAAGCAATGTGGAGGATCGTGTGTCTTTGAGCTCTGAATGCTTTTAGTATGGTTTAAGACATCATGGATCCTTAATTCTTGGGCTGCGCTTCACAGGTTTTATCAATAGTAGCATCCTGCGGAGGTGTCAGCATGAAAACTGTCAGTGTCTGGGCTTAAGGTCACATCAGTATAGTGCTGGCTAGAATAGCGTACGTAAGCCAATTAAAAAACTATTAGATGTGGCCTTCTCTGTGAAACAGAAGAACAGTACGTTTAGATTGCTACGGTTTAATAAAATTGAAAAGCATAGTGAGATTGTGTATTACAGACATATCTGGGCACTGTTTAAAAGGGTACTGTTAAAACACAAGAATAGCCCTTTGTTTCATAAGCTTCAGTGTGCCTAATTTGACTTTTGCTTTGTGGGATACTACCACAGAGTCTTCACTTAGTATTTACAAAGCTTTTTGCAACTGAATTTTCTAGAGTGTTATTTTTCTCCCTAAAACAAAAATCTTACCTGCAAGAGTTGCTGATTATTCCTTCAGATTATGATTAACCTAGAATTATGCAGTTAGAACTAGATAAAGGTAGACGATATACCATGTCTCCTAATTACTCTTCTTTTTTCCTGCGGGTTTTGTCATAGCACAGTAGAGACTACAGAAACAGTTGGAAAAGTTTGGCTCCATAGGGTTGGTGACAGAAATCAGTTTGGTCTGACATTTTATTACATAAAGATTATGGTCATTTTAAGAATATGAAAGTGGATTAATGTCTCTTTTTCCATATTCTTGGAAGCTTTCCACAATCTCTGTCATCACATAGCCCCTGCTATTGTTTCCAGCTCTTCTTGTTTTTTTCCTATTAGCCCATTTTCACTGCAGTAGCTATCACTGTACATTTACTTGCCAGTACAAACTAACCTCTCTTATACAAACTTCAGAATTACAAGAAACTTCGGCCGTGTGATTTTTATGGCAATTTAGAAAAACTTATCTTTAAAAACAGCAATAAGTTTTTGATTTCACCTTTAGCAGAGATGGCGCGCTCTGAAAATACAACTGTGTTCTCTATTGCTTTAACTTACAGGAGTTAACTAGCCTGATTACATTGTAAAAATTGGATATGCCCAAAGAACTCAGAATATGAACTCTAAATTTTTAACTGGGAGCGTGTATATAAATGCTTTATTACCGCAGCAGGCAGCTCTTTTTCTGTCCCCGATGGAAGTAATGTGAAAAATTAGAAGAAAAATATCTATCTTACCTACAAAGTGGAATGTAAGTTTGCGTGTTAGCATTGCTGTTGTATCTGTGGCTGCATGGCACTGCACATTCCACTGCTGAATTCCACACTGCAGGTCATGAATTAATTTCTTCAAGTCTTCTAACAGTTTTTTTTCAAAGGAAACAACTGCACTGGTTTCACAACTTCCTGTTTTGAATTCTGATGCCAGATGTAGGCTCTTCCCTGGCTTATGATACACTGTAAAAAAAAAGAAAGTTCCCTTGGCTATCTAAACTCTTTCTCATCCAGTATTTACCTCAACCCAGTTAGCTATTCAGGGTATACTTAAGAGTATGCTATCACAGTAACTTGGATACCTACTCTCTTGTTCTATGTAGTACATAGTTTGTTTTCGTTATTTCACAACTAATGCCCACTAGGGAAGTAACAGGGTAAATAGAGATGCGACTCAAAGCACTCCAATCACAATCTCACCTATGTTTAGTTCTTGAATGAAATTCTGTGAAATTATGGTTTCTATACTGTAGTTATATCACTGAATGTATGACTTATGAAATACTGTCTTTCTAGCTTCAGAAGGTTACTATGGGAGAAACTGAGGAGAAAGGAAACTATATAGCAGAACGTTTATTAAGAAGGCTAGTGGAAGAGATGGAAATAACCCAATTTCCTTTCTTAATGTGTGATGATTGTGATACACCATCACCCGCAAGCTCAAGCAGGCAGACCTCCAGATTCTTCTGGGAAGAGGAAGAGAGAAGCAGCTTTGATTAACAACCGCAAAAATTTGCAGCAGTAACAACTATCAGGGCAGGTCAATCAGGGAATATGCCAGGGAGCTAAGTTACGAGTCTACTAGGCTAGCCATGATGCCAAAAGAGCTAACATAATCTTGGTTATACATTACAGAATTCCATTATCCCATTATTTTGCCATCTTACTTTTCTTTCATAACTGCTGCATTTTTGCAAATCTGAAATGAACTTTGAAGTTGGGTTAACCTATGTACCTTCTAGATGTTCAAACCAAAGATGTCTATGGCTGAAAGAGCTACCTATGTTTCCTGTCTAGCCCATGGAGAGAAATAAGGGTTTTTAGGGTGATTCATCGGATGTAGGATGAGAAATAATGCATTCTAGGAATGCCTGTCTAGTCAGATGAGAGCTACCCTTGCTGATCTAATGAACAACGCATGCTATATTTCCTCCACAGTGGTAATCATAATTAGGATGCACTTGGTTATTCTAGCAATGATTTTTGTCCAAGCTTAAGAGTACTCAAAAATATGCAAGGGTGTAATTGCAATCTGGTAATATGCATCTCATGTTCATGGAGAGAAGTTTCTCTTGGCACGTGTTTAAAAAAACTTCACAGGCAAACAACAGGAATATGGGAAAGGGTCAGAGATTCAGAAATTCTCTCTGAGCTTGTCACAACATTGTTATTGCATCAAGACTATGTGTGGTACAGACGTACTACCTGAAGCACAAAATGTTACCATTACTGTGACTCTTCTTGCTTTGATCATGTAAACCATTATTCATTATACCTTGTATTTATTTTCTGTTTTACAGTTAGAAGAAGCACATTCAACAAGTAAAAAAATAAAATAGGAGACACCTACACTAATAACATAATTGAGTTAATATCCCTGGGAAAATCTTTGGAAATGAACTAACTATTCAATATTTGTTCTCAATGCTATAATAAAATTTCCAAAACTGAGTAGTTAATCTGGATTTCCTTTGTACATCAGTGTTTTACCTCAGACATGTACTGATCCAGATTAAGATAAAGGGATTAACAGCATGTATGTAGCAATTATATCATTCAGCGATACTCTGCTTTTTAATTTTGTACAGCAGAGTAGATGTTTCACACCAGACCACAGTGCAAACACTTATTCCAAGCATATGTATGTGCAGCTGCTGTTTATCTTTAATAAAGCTTTAATGCATATGGTGATGGACTTTTAATTAAATCCCAGTTTTCCAAGGATACATTTTCCAGCTTTGAGTAGTTGGAAAAATTTCGCTATACATGCTAAACATTTTGCTGGTCTCCGCATTTATAGTGCATTTTAAAAATGTAGTAAAACTCTGGATATAGCCACCTGGATCTGGGATAAGATTAAGAAATGCTTAATAAGCATTATGCTTATTATTATTATTAAGCATTATGCTTATTATTAATAAGCTTAATAATGCTTAATTAGCATGTCCTTTAAGAAATGCTTAATACTTTCAAATTCCATGGACTGCAACAGGAACTGAGAGCAGTACACAAATTGTATGAGGTTTTTGACACAGATCTGTATTTCCTAGAGCCACCAAACTAAAATTCCTAAGAAGGAATATAACTTTTTTGGAATTAAATACAGAAATACTTAGGCACAGTCTTGGAAAGAGGTATTTTGGTAAATTGAGGAGCAGATCATGCTCTTGTGGTTTTAAAACAGAACCTCAACCCTACTATTAAAAATAAATGATAGATTAAATACAGTGGCCAGGGCTGTGTCCTCTTCAGAAATCCAGTAGGTGGCATCACAGCATAATTTTAATTACTATTTGAGCTGCTTTTAATTCGGAAGGAAAGGGACCATATTTGGATTCTTGTTTAATTCTTTTAAAAGCTAGCTATTTTCTACATCTTCCAGCTCTATCTCTTGTTCCATTTTATTCTCAAGATCAAGCCTGTATAGGCTTGATAAGGCTCTCTTGTTTTATATAAATTTACTTTTTCCTATAGATGCCCTTCATAAAGTATTCAGAACTGTCCCAAGAATATAATTCTGTAGTAGATGGACTGGTATGTCACTTTTGAATGCTTTTGAGAAGCACACTTGATATCAAGGACCTCAGGGGTGAAAAAGGTGCATATGCTTCTAATATGGGAACACCTTTAACTTCACTACTTAGCAGCTGAAAACAGTCTGTACATCTAACAGCAGAAATATGAAAACTTAGTAGATGTTACGCTCAAAAATGTAGCTAGAGTTGGAATTTAAATAGGAGTTTTGAAGAATTCAATGCTAGACATAAGCGCTTAAAGGACTGTTAGGCAACTAGAGCCCTTTATGACTTCAGCCTTTGTAATCACTGATTTCTTCTTCGACAGAATGAGCATAAAAATGTTTTGGTCTGAGTAATCATAAACAGTATCAACAGTAAACATAATTTTGTACATAATTTCATCATGTTTTTCTTAGGCAGTCTCTTTAAAGTATGTTTGTATAAAAGAGTTACATATAAGGGTTTCTTTCCAGTATGATATAACCGAGCTGCTTCTACATTTATGCTAATCTTCAGGTAAATATTGAAGAAAAATGCTATTAGAATAAATCAAAAAGCAGTACAATTAAACTTTACTTGCCATAGATCATAAAATGGACTTCGGTCACCATATGTTTATCATTATGTACATAGGTAACTTTACAGGTATAACTTCCAGAGTCACTTGCATGAATGTTATAGATCTCCAGGCAATCTTCTGTTAAAACAAGTCTTTGTGATTCTAGAAATAGATATTTGAGATACTATAAAATAAATAACAAGATAAAGTAATATTTTTTGTTAATAACCTCTAATGAACAAAGTATTCAAGAAAGTAAAACATTTAAATGCTTGTTCTATGAGTTCCCAAAGCACTGCACTGACTTGTTTCTCCATTTGTGTGAGTGTGCATACGTGTACGTGATATATTTCTTGCAAAACACAATCTATAGAGGAAAAGGACAATCAGGAAGAAATATTTAGAAAATTCAGATCCTGATAGCATTTTTCTTAACAGCAAAAGGGGGAATTCAGACATAGATCTGTAATATTTAGTGAATTACAAGTAGTAATAGTGAAATGAAAGTAGATCATTATATTGGAGACCTATTCATGACAAATGACACTTAGCTCTTGGTCTTCCAAAGTAATTAATTTCTTTAGAAGAGGCCCACTTTGTGTTTGTGACTTCTATCTACTGAAACATTTTATATAAAAGGTGTTTTTATTTCCCATTTGACACTAAAAAAGTCCCCAAACAAAACAAAAACTTGATCACATAGTGAGGAAGGTAAGCATTAATTTAATTCCTTAAAATATCCTAAAAAAAGAACAAAGCAATTTTTAGATGCCCAAGGAAAAAATTGTGATCCAGCCTCCTTTTCTGATCTACTATCAGTTTCCAAACTGTTGGAAGGAGGTGAAATAGTATAAAACAACATCTGATAATTGCTCATTTTGAATGGAGCTTTGGAGAGGGCTAGACCCATATATTTTGAGGACATCCTTTCTGTTTCTCTGGACATATAGCAAACAAATCATAAATCTTTCCTCACTGAATTTGAAGCGTTGTACTTAGCGGTTCTTACTGAGAAAGACAATGAAAAACATTTGTAGGGCATGTACTATTTCTATAGTTTATGTCTGATTATTACTTATTTTCCTTTCAACTCTTTTCTTTTAAAAATTCCTTTTGATAATTTTTTCCCATCATTTATTCCTGTTATTGGAATTACCTCTTTACTGTCCTATTTTCATTCCTAACTTGGCTGTTCTCTTCTTACTTTTCTTATTTTCCTCTTAATTGTTTTCTTCCTTCTGTTCCTTTGCATCATTTCCACCCTGATCTCTCTCATAACTCTCTTTCTTCCACCTTAAACATCTTCTATTCTTTATTTCTTTTCTCCAAATCGAATTGACACTGATCTCTCAGAAGTCTTATAAACATAAACTTTACATTAATACAGGAAACTGACTACAATCATTAACTTCCTTCTATCTAAACACAGTCTAATTCAGAGAGAAGAAATCAGAAGTATTATTTTAACTGTTTGTTTTTTTTTTTTTTTTAAGAAGTTTATATGTAAAATCTGAAGTGCTGTTCCATTTACTGTTGCTGGCATGGCATCATGTCAAGTCATTCAAATTACTTGCATCTACTTTTGATTTACAAATACATGAGCTTCCATAAAATAATTTTTAAAATCATAATTTCAGCCTCAGAATTTTAAAGTTATATAATTTGAATGGTTTATACAGCCTTGTGTTTCTGTTCTGAATTTATTATTTTTTCATTAAAATTCACTTCTGCTGTCTTGCAAATATAAGACTTTCAATAAACTGCTTCTGTTTTTGCATACTCTACTACAAAACTGTATAAACCAAAAATTAAATTAGAATGCATTAAATTAGTTGTAGATATTAAAAATATAATTACCTTTGGTTATCAAGCCCATGGGACCAACCCACTGATATTCTGGATCATTTATTCTTTCCTTTAACAACTTTTCAGTCAAGCACTTAAGGATAAAGCCTTTGGAATTAATAGAAACATACACTAGAACTAAAAAGAAAAACCAGTACCATCAGATACATGAAAATATAGCTTGAGATTAAAATGAATACTGAGGCAATTGACACTATTGTAAGGTAGTCGGTACTTCAAAGTGGACCTCTTTGTAAAATACAGGCCTTGCTGACTTCTGCATATGCACAAGAAGAGCTTTAATTTCTCATGTCATTTATCTAGCAGACTTGATAGAAGTGAATTTTATTTCCATGGAATATAGAAATACAGTCACTGCATAGGAAATAATGTGAGGGGAAAAGAAAAAAACAAAACCCTCTAGATAATTAATAACTATGAAATGTCAGAACATAGATTAATATAAATGAATAATCAGGTTTCTCAAGAAATGTTTGGCTTACCAGTTGAGCCTTCTTTTCCAAGTATTTGATGAGGTGTTTGTGGAACATCTGGGAGAGATGTTATTTTCATGGGTTCAGACAGAGCCACTGAGTTGTACATTCTAATTATACCTTCTTGTTTCAAGTGTGCCTCTCCTTTCTTTGTGAGTTGAGTCTTATCCAAGAAATGAGAGCTTCCTGCTAATCAATACAAGTCAATCACATTTAAAAACAAGTAGTGCAACACTAAAACTTTAACAATCAAAAAGAAATTAAAATCAGTGCTGGTCTAAAATATTCAATGATCTATGATACTAACACCATGTAATTTTACCTTTCTGCGTTGTGTTATATTGGATGCTTCCTGTTCTCGGGGAAAAAAAAAAGTACATCTTTCTTAAAACTTGGGATGAAACTAGCAGCAATTCAAAATAGATATGTTACCCTTTTGTGGAACTGAAGTAGGTTCCAGATTCCACAAGTAGGTGGTATTGAGTTGTATGTAAACACTTGGAAAGTTGACTACTTGCTGCCAGATTGTGTATGCGGATGAAACTTGGTGTTCCTGATGACTACTGTAGCTACAGGAGCCAGAATAAAAAGGTTCTTCTCAGAGTAAGTTTCGAAAAGGGAAATTTTTTTAGTAACATTTGTACTACCAAAGCAAATAAATCTCCTTGAAAAGAATAAGTAAAAATACAATTGCCACAGAAATAGTCTGAAAGATAGGATTGCCCAATCACATGTGTGAAATATGAGGAAACCTGCCCCATCCAAATTAAGTACAAATCTTAAAGCAACTCCCAGTTGCAGCCAATTTCCACTGCAGCAGTAACTTACGCCCTTTCTAGGTTTTATCTTTGGCAAGTACAAGTAAAATTGAAATTAAGCCAAATAATATATTTCTTTGGTCTAAAAAAAAGAGAAAGGAAGTAATGGCTAAAAATACTCTAATCTTCTATGAGGACTTAATAGTAGGAGTGATGGGTAACTAATGACTAAAAATACTGCTACATGTGAGGAAGAAGCTTGCTCACATTTGCAATTTCTTTCATTTTAGTTTTTTTTTTTTTTGACATCTACTATGCTAGGTGCTCTGAACCTTCAGAGTGACTAGAATTAAGCCTTTAATGAAACTTCAGAGATTTTTCTTCCTACCCCTTTATCCTGTTGCTTTCAATTGCCTTTTTTACTCTCTTATGATCTTATTTTCTTACTACCGGTCAATGTGACACTGACTTTATCTTAATTGGCTTGTATACTGAACTCTTACTCTAGCAATGCTAGAAGATATTCCTAAAGCATGTAATATGCTTACAAAAGCCTTTTAAAAAAATAAATCCCATTGCAATTGCAGAAGTTTATTGTATTTTTTGCTGTCCTTTTCATGTCTTTGTAAGTCTCAACTGTCTAGCTGTGTTCTGCTATTTAATATACAACGCAAATTTGCTTAATAAACCTTACTTCTTTCAACATAAGCAGCCACTAACATGACTTTTTTTATTATGTAATTTCTTACAGAAATTGTATTTTTAGTCCAGTCTCCTGTAACTAGTCTTACAGAACAATTCAGTCGCTGTATGTCCCTGCAAAATAAAGGTCTTAAAACATTCATAGGCAGTTAGGTCAAAGAAAGACCAAACTGTGAATGCGAATGAGTTTGACCCTATAAGGTTTTTATTTCTTCAGTTGATTCCTGTAGATATGTCAGCTTGCATGTCACGATTAAAATATCCTGTAAGAGGCGAAAGAAGAGTTTCAAAATTCTGCAGAGTAACATAACCTCAGTTGAAGTCAACCAAGAAAACCAACCTCACAAAACAAGATTTCATTGGCTGCCCTGTTTACAAACTGTCTTGCTCACTTCATGCAGTCAAAAGTTTCCCAGTTTTCTTTTGTTCTGATGGCATTACCTGTTTCACTTCATGATTACTAAAAGAAGCCTGGAACACCCTTATTGGGTTATGGATTTTTCCCCGTGAATTCTTCGTTTGCAAGGCCTAAGCTTGCAACCAACCGATTTCACGTAATCAATGACATACAATAATATTTAACACAGGAGGAACTTGATGTAATTTTTGCACAGTTATGTACTGTATTATGAATAATTATATTAAGCCTTATAATTCCTTAGGACTTGCTGCAACAAGTAGAACAAACCACCACTCCTAGAGTTTCTAAACCTCTGCTAAGACAAAATGTATTCAAGTGTTGGCATGAAAACAAGCCAAATACATAATGATACTTTGTCACTAGCAATATAGGACGTTCCTTTAACTGGATGGTTCAGGAGGATGAACAGACACAAACGCGTGCGCACACCCACCCCTCCACCCCCTCAAGGTTTTAACCCTTGTAAGCAAAGAAGTTAATGCTTTTAAGATTCTTTGGAAAACACTGATTGTTTGAACTTCTCAGAACAGAGAAATGGAAATATTATAAATGAGATAGATATAAATTTAGCAATACAGCCCTAATTCAGAAAAGGGAAAATCAGTAAATGAGGAAACTAAATTATTGCTAGAGATGCCACTGAAGAAGACCAGAAAGAACCAGAGAAACTAAACTTTCCACAGCATATTAGGACATCTTTGAACTTACCAGATTTTTTTGTCTATGTTTCAGGAAGGACATTAGAATTTGAATAATTGCATTATTCGTACATTAGAATTTACATAATAAACCCTAGGTGTCAGCACCATTTTTTTCTCTAACTGATATATGGGGCCTCGTATCATATCTAGCAGTTGTTAATCATTAATTGCTTTATTCCTGTAAAAAAAATAATTTTACCGTCATCATTACCAATGTAATTCACCACAAATATACAAAAACTCAAATTTCAGAGGAATATGGAATGCATTAGGGAAAAAACATGAAGCCTGTGGACTTTGTGTTGCAAGCACAGAAAAAGGCATGCAGTTGTACAGCAAGAATTAAATACTAATAGATAAAGCTTTGAAAAATATATGGTTGTGTCTCCCAGAAGGACCAGGTTCTAAAAATCTAGTGAAACAACAATCTAGTAACACCACCCAGTAGAAAATAAAGCAAGGGTTGTGAAGTCAAAATTAGCAGGCTCCTCCTAAAACCATTCTAATGGAAAACTGTTATTTGATTTTTAAGATATGGAGTCAGGAAAATATAACACAGAAAGGAACAGACATTTATCTCCATGCGGAGGAACCCCTGCCCTCTCCTTGCTTTCATCAGTAGCTGATTATTTAACTATTTTGATGTTCCACTGCAGCAACAGCTGCACGCCAATTAAATATGGCACCTTTCAGTTTATACATGAATAATTCTTGAAGGTTTATCCGTACTTCTCAGTGATATCTAAACAAATGAAATACCTGTAACTTAGTTCAACAACATAAGACTACAGCTGAATACTCTTAAGCACACTAATACTGACAGTACTAAAAAAAAGTAATTTTAGAACAGCTTTTTTATTAAGGAATCAGCTCCTCAAATAGCAACTTTTAACACCCTTCAGCCGAGGGCATAATGAATTCGTTTGTAAGTAGATGATTTCATTAAAAATATTAAAATGATAAAGAACTAAGAAAGCTTATGTAGCCTGAGAGTTTGTCACATAACGTTGTTCACGTTCAATGAAGATATATGTAAAAGAAAAATTCCCATATTCTAAAACAGGCAATTATGTTAAACAATCATATGGAAAATATATAGCAGCTTATATCTTCAAAGCACAGCACAAGCAACATTTCATGTAATTCCTACAGTTAGTATAGTTCTATGTTGTAAATGCTCCAGAATATTCCTAATGCCGAAAATAATGGACAGAGAATGGAAGATTCATTAAGGGAATGCTATAAAAGTATAGACTTAAAAAATTAAAGCAGCATATTATAAAGCATAAAATATATATATACACCAATACAAAAAGCATGCATATATTGTACATACTATATGTCTATATGTATATATACATATGTAATGATATATTAAGTTTTCGTATTTATTTATATAAATAGTAGCATTTTTATATATGATGCAGAATAATTTACAAGGTCACAGTTAATCTGTGAATCTTAGTCTAGAAATGTTATAAGGTATTCGCATAATACAAACAAGATTCACACATTCACTCTGCTGTTGAATGGACTGATTTGTACTACCTTGGCCATTGCTTTGTTTATGGTCAGTCTCACCAAGCAGGAAAAGCGTATAAAAACCGCAAGAGTTCACATTCAGTGAAAAAAGGCTCATAGTTTTCGTTCCTTTATTCTCCCTGCCACTGTTATCTTGTAGTAGTGTAAAACCAGTAATAACTACATTATTAATTAGGCTCAGTATTTTGTATTTGGGCCAACCAAAAACAAAATCCAGATGTCAAAATCCACTGATATTAATACTCATATATCCAGAAAGCATGCTCTGTTCCACTATTTATCTTTCTCCTCTTGCTTGAATGAAGACAGCAGCACTATATTAACGCTTTTTAACATGAAGAGCTCTTCAAATGTAAGGCAAGACATGACCTGAGCTGCTAAAGGTTGGTTATCAAGTGCACAGAATGAGCTAATGTAAGTATCAGCAAAAAAGTCTACACAGAAATATTTCCTTCTGTTGTTTGAAGCACTAATTTTGCAGCTATCCCAGTAGAGATAACACTACAGGGTTTTATATTCTTATAGTTAGGCATATTTTAGGTAAGAGTCTAATTGAAAGTTATACCACACCTTACAGAAGGATATCTGTTTACTGTACAATGAATGTTTAGACCTAGTAAGAGCTCCATTCACAAGATATGCAGGATGGCCTGAATGGTAGATAGAACTCCACGGTTTTCATAGCTCCCAGAATCAATGCCCTCGATCTTACCTAAATATTTAGGTATATGATAAACTATGCCTGAAGCAGGCAGATAAAAAGACTGATGCTAGTAACTAATCTACAATTTTTTGATCTACACCTTTTTTCCATGCTTGAGCACTGCTACTCCATGTACTACAAAACCTAAAGAGATTACAGAAGGATGCACATTACTGAGATGAAAAGAAATAGATCTGATGATTTTTCTGAGCAAATGAAATAATAAATTGTGTTTAAGAGTCTGGATTACACTAGAGCTATCAAAACCCATAGCAGCTCATTATTTCTGCAGACAATAACCTTCAAGCTAGCAGTTTTACCTGCAATGCTGAGGATTTATTAGCAAGCTTAATTTGGATTCCATCATGCATAGAGACTATTTCCAACTACGAGATCCCGAGACTTAGTGTCTTCTGGTGGAACGCCTTCCAGAATTAGAAAGAAGAGCAAGATATCTTGCATCTACATCTATGAGGAAAACTTTACGTGTGCAAATTATAAATGTTTCTACACTCCCTAACAGGAAAAAGAAAAAAGATCTTTAAGTGATGACACTTGTAAACTTTCACAGGTTTTTGTGGCGATAAGTTCTAGTCTTAGGCCAGCTACCAAAAAAATCCCATATCCTCAGACAGAAGCCGTGCTTTGAAAAGCCACAATCCCTGTTAGATTTAGCTGTAGTGGGAGAGGATTCTGTTTCCATAACTGGGGTTAGTAATCTCTCCAGCCACTGCAGCTAAATCCCTCAGGAATGAGGAGTCTTCAACTGCTGGGATTCACAACTCTGCAATAACACAAATGGGAATGCAGAGTTAGGTTAAAATAGCAGGCGTTGCAGCAACCAGCAGAGTACAGACATGGCCCATTCTGCTGCTTTTGTCATATGGATTCAACTTTAAGCAGATGGGAGGCAGTACAGACTAAAGCTGAAGAAGTTTCTTAACATCTATAGCTCCAGTTGATCTTGGAGATTTATGGAATTTTCTTTACCTTCTTGCTTTAGAATACCCACTAACAAACTTTTAATGCCAATAATTTCTGTGATTTTCCAATAAAAACAGTATTCAAATTATGCATCATGATCAAGGTCTTAAAATGCTAAGTAACAAGCACAGAAGAAAAGAATGGGAATAAAAAGTACTGCTCATGGGCTGTACCCGTGTCAATGCTGACACGGCAGAATGTAGATTTGAAAAAGAAAAATTGAAGTAATGTCTTTGAAATGATAAAAGGCAAAAAGAGTAAGACAGGAAAACTAAAGAATTTTGTCTAAAACTGTATTTAAGACCCAGAACCTCATTTAATTTTTGTTGACTTTAGCCGTATGTTATTTGATGGCTTATTAATTTAATTCATGGACAAGAGACATTAAAATTACATAAATAGTCACAAAATGTCATGTTTTCAGTCAAATGTGCTATCTATACAGGATCATGAATATTTTCTTTTAAAAAGTGTGTCCTGAATATATAGGTATATAAATCACCCCATAGAGCAAAGAAAATGAGTGGAAAGTTTGCACGGACTCTGATAGAAGACTCTGAATGAAAAAAAAAAAAAAACAAAAATGGGCAGAATTCATACAAAAAAAGAAAAAGCACTTGCTGAACATCAGTGAAGAAAGAAGGGTAAGTTTCCACCTTGATTTATCATCTCGCAGCGTTCAGAAACGGGAGGTGGGATTCTCAAGAACAGCCCGACGACTGCATTATTTGTTAATGTCATCGGTTCTCTTTATCGTCGCCCGGGTTTTTTAAGGGGTGACACAGGATTTTCTTCACAAGCAAGAGCTCTAGAAACTAACCTAAATAATAATAATAATAATAAAACAAGCAAGCAGCAGCTGAAACCCCCACACCGCTAGGCCTGGGGGCTGACTGCAGAAGGGGGCATCCGAACGGTTCTCTCTCTCGCCGCGAGCAAACAGGAGGCCTGGCAGAAAGCCTGAATCAGCCTGATTCATACTTAAAAAAAAAGAAGGAAGGGGGAAAAAGGCACAGTAAGAGCCGTACGCAGATGTGGAGGAGGAATGAAGCGGCCCAGCCAGGGGAAACGCTACCACACAAAGCCGTGGCGACCCAGCTTTGAGAAAAACCTAACAGTCGAGGGAAAGACCGCAGAGCTGGAGGGAGAAGACCGGAAAGCACCAACACCTACAACAGGCCTGGCACACACAGGCCGTTTTGTGATTTGTTCCCAGTTTGGGAGCCCTT